GATTAAAATCGAGCTCTTTGCCACCTCAAAGATTGATTATGTGCAAGAAAAAAGTAGCTAGACCGAGAAGAATAAAGTGAAAAATCAGTCCATAATCAGAAACGGGCCGATCTTAGAAAGAAGTGAATTCCAGCAGATCAAGCCTATCACATTTTTTTGTTTTGGAAAAAAGGCTCATCAACTGCCTTTGAACAAAATACACATGGCGGGACCATAACCTTTTTTGTCTCCGGACAACACAACTGTGCACCCTTACTGCCTGCAATGACCAGCTTACAAGAAAGAGCCCGAGTAATCGAAACTGGTAACCACAGCAAGCAGAAAACAAAATTTGTCGACATTGTAAATCCTACCACGATCCTGAGCGGCGGTATTGCGCCGTGAGTGATGTCACAATGCTCCTTTGCCAAAGTAAACGCGTCGCGCACCGCTCCTAATTGGAGCACAGAATCTAGTGGTGTACTGCGAGATTATAACTTTTTCCTTTTGATCGCGGGAAGTTTTGTTCTACTCATTGCCTATTTTTCATAACAATCGACCCTAATTTATGAAAAAACATGCTTGAAACTTGAGCGGTCCATAATGGAAGAAGTTCTGGCAAACCTTTTTCTTTCATAGTCCAAAGTTTAGGAAACTTTGGAATTGCTCTTTGATTTCGTGTTTTTGATGGTTCTTCTAGATTTTCCAGCGTAGTCTTATCGTTCTTGTTGAGCATTGTGCTCGTTGCAAAGGCAATTCTTGCAGCTGTGCATATGTCGGGTGCGGGCAAGAAGCGAGTACGAAAGGAAGATGTGGCTACCTTTGACGAATGTGACGCTGGCAGCTGGGAATGCACTGTATGCACCTACCGCAACCGTTTCGAAGCATTCAAATGTGAGATGTGTGACACAAGGTTTGATAATTGTATTTGTACACTGTAAGACAACGCATAATTTTGTGGCGTAGAACAAGTTCGTAGTAGACTACATTCTTTCAGAAAGGGAACCTCGACGCGAAAACCACGATTGAATGAGAATGTTGTACAGATGCAAAAGGTTGTGCAAAACTTTGTTGTTCAACAACAAGAAAAAGCCGCTAGCAGGTAAGCCGATGAAAGTTTGATTAGCAGTGCTAACATATGACCACGTAGCCGCTGCGTAATTCTGCATAAATCTAGCTTTCTATGCATCACCAGTGCAAAACATACGTTGAAAGAATTTATCAGCCGCATCTCTGACAGCAAGTCTACAATAGTCTACAATCTGTTATTACTATAATGCACAATCGTGAAAGCCGGGTAGAGGAACGAATACCTCAGTCAGTACCGCATCCGTGGACTGCTGCTCCTTTGTGAAAGCCTGTTCTGCACACGCACGCAAGGACTGTCAAAGTTGATGGGTCCGCAAGCGCTTCACAATTTAGGATACATTGGGTGGGCATCAACCTTGCTTGATTTTGAGAGATTGGAAAGTGCTTCATGGTCGGCTATCAACTAATAAAGGATGTGCGAGAAGTTGCACTGGCGTTCACGGAACTATTGCCCAGAGCTTGGTAACACTTTCCAATGTTCGGAGTACTGCACATGGAACCCATTCCAATTAGTCTGCTACATTCAATAAAATGTTACTAAAGAACAGCGTTACATCAAGTGATGCTAAGCTGTACCAACCGGAGAGCACTTGACGCTTCTAGCAACTCTCAATCTTGTTATAGAAGTTAAAATATAGGTATATAGCAGTAAAACTCTCCTCCTCCCCTCCCGACCAGGTCTCTGCAACTATCGAAGACAATTTTGAAATCAGTCAAAAGCTACGCTGGTCGATTCATCGTGTAAGATCACAACTTCTTGTGCTTTTTTGGTGAGTGGAGCAGGAAAGAATTCAAATTTACTCTGTTTCTTTCGGATTCTTGCAATCTTCCGCTGCAGCTGCTAATAACTGACAGAATTTGAGGAGTCTCAGAAGTTGTACGAATCCAGCCTGACAAAAGTGCCGAAGCTCGCGCGTTTCCACTTACACTCGTTCTTACTAGTTTATGTTTACGATTTTCCCGAAT